TGGAGCAATGATTTGATTAGGTCTGCGCTGATTACAGTCTTGTTGGTTACAATATACAGTTCTAATGGAGAGCGCAGGAGGCCAGGAGCAGGGAGCGATTGAGAGCGAGTACGTCAGTTTGTCAAGCTGTCAAGAGCAATGCTATATTGTGCTTCCGAGGTGTTCCGGTGCAGGCGAGCGCTCCGAACGAATCAGTTTATATCAAAGAGCACCAGTGAGGATATTAATACAAATCTTTTAGCAGCTATAAGCACTCAGGAGAGCGATTCGTTGCCGCGCTTGTTGAATGAGCTATCCTTGAATTAGATCGAAAGAAAAGGGGGAGCACATTTGAACAGCTCCTGTTTCACAAACAACGCCATCGCAAACGAGCATGTCTTCTTTCTTCTTAAAGCAAGTGCCTCCCCTTAGCTTTGCGCTGGAGTGCTGTAGATTTGCTGCACGGCGCGTGGTGTGTAATGTTGGCTGAGAATAAATAATCTAAAGCCCCACATGGCCTTTGCCTTTGTAAGCTTATAAAATATTAACCAAATTAATCTACCGTATTTTTCTATGAGAACACGGTGATTCTCTGTAAACCAACAATTGCTTCTGAGAATAATTTGGAGAAAATGCAGCAATGCATTTGCTTTCTGAAAGCTAGGGACAAGGTGTAATTACTCCCCTTTAGTATGTTGCATTTTCCATTAATTAGACGAATCCTATCGAACATCGTGATTGTTTGACAGCTACTGAGCTTGTTTCAACGCACCTGTTTTTTGTTTTTTTGCCAACATCAAGTATCAGAAAACAGTTATCAGTTCAGCAGATTTTAGTTGGATCCAGTAAATAAAATAAAATTAAAGACTTGTGTGGTACATCTTTTAGTCAGTTTTTAAATGCCCCGAGGGAGAGCAAACGAAAAAAAAAAGATGGGTTTCTGTCCAAACTTATGACCCAAGAAAGAACCGATAAAGTAAAACAAACAAAAAAAAATCATCTGAAAGGATTTTAGGGATGGCAGATTTAATGTCTGTCTGAGAGGAGAGAGAGAGCGAGAGAGAGATCAGAGCTAATCCTCTTTACTGTTTGTTTGGTAATCTGATTTAGTCTGATTTTTCTTCTGCTATCTCTGCTGTGGTTACTGATGCTGCCTCTGGATTGACCACAACTCTCAGCAACTCCTCCCAACACCTCCATCTTCATTGTATCAACTGCCACCAAAGACAAAACTATAATAATGTCATTACCTTTGTCTGCGTGCATGTTAGCTTGTGTGTGGTATTAGCAAAATATCTCACGAGCCAGTGAATAGATTTTATTGAAACTTTCAGAAAGTATTTATTGGTTGTACTTCTACGAGTGAATAACTTTTGGAATTAACACTTCCAAGATCAAGAGCTGCTAAAAAAAAAAAACTTAGTAGAGACAATAACAGGTATAACTCAGCCAGTTTTATGGATATTGATATGGTTACCGTGGTGATAGCTGAGAGTCATTTCCAGCACATACTCTGATCTGATTGCACGAGATCAGTTCTTTAAGCTTTTCCTCCATTTATTGTTGTTAACTCTGTCTGTCCTTTAGCAAAAATTTCAAGAACCACTGAATAGATTTTAATGACGCTTCCAGAAAGTCATCATTAGACGTACATCTACAACTCATTAGGTTTTCAGAGTTGATCCAACTCAAGTTGGCCATCACAACAATCTGACCTTAACCAACATAACGATGTCTACAACTCGGTCTACAAATATTGAGTCAAAATCTGGTGTGGTAGTAGCTGAGAGTCATCCTCAATACATACTCTAAGCACTGACACATCTCACAGGATCTCACAATAACGCATGAGTAGGCCTGTTGCAATAAACAATAAATCAATTAATGCATGATAAATGAAAATTAACGACCTCATTTTCATTTATCGGCTTTATCGTTTCTTCGTGGCTCTCTTTCTACTGAAGACACTGGATGACAAAAAGGCTCAACTCTTCATTGACCCCTCCCTTTCTCTTTTTTTCTCTTCTTTAAAATCTGTTTTAACCGTCCAAAATCGTGTTTTGGACAGTTAAAAGCAGCTAAGCTGAGAAGCTAAGCTACGAGCTAAGCTAACAGGCCGACCTCAGAGAAAAAAAACTCAGTCTTGTCAAAACTCCAAAGTTCATGGTTGAAGCCCGTGCCTACATCTAAAAATTGTTTTTCACTGCAAAAAGAAGCTGAGAACTTGTTTACTGATTTTTTTTTTAATTAAACGCTTGGAGTGACAAATGCTATGCTAAAGAGCTCAAACCACACAGAGCGTCTGCCATTTTGAGAACCAAAAAAAGAAGAGAGACAGCCCATGTCACGTCAAGTGGCTTCTCTTCCATTTTCTTAAAGAGACACGCTGCTCGCTTCCTCACTATCCATCCTTCAGTTCAAACAGTCTTATACTGCCATCCAGTGGTCAAAAAAGGTGCTACACACAAACCAAATTACCAACATTTCATCTTAAATTTGACAATAATTACTAATTATTGTCAAATTTTGAACAATATTATCGTTTATCGCAATAATTTCTGAGACAATTAATTGCTCAGCAAAATTTGTTATCGTGACAGGCCTACGCATGAGATTGTGCAAAATGCCATTTACAAAGTTTGACCAAAACGTGTTGTAACTATGTTCCTTCTTGTCACAAGACGATCCTAGTTTAAAACTCTAGCATGAAAGGCAGTGGGCAATATGCACTCCTTCAAACTGAAGAATAACACATAAACAAAATAGCGTTATGTGCATTTATTTTGCATTTTACCAAATCTAGCATTGTGTCTGCTTGTAAACGAATCCCTGCTCTGACATCGCTCAACAGAAGCACACTACGGCTGTCCCTGCTCTAAATAAATGACCTACTTTGCACATTAACACACATTTACATGACAGCAAGATCCAAAGAAGCTTCGTATTTTCTGTTGCAAGCACTGACACTTCTTGCTTTAAGTGCAATATTACTCTTGTTCAAGTCTTAGAAACCGCAGTGTTGTTTGAAGTCTGCTGTCACGTTTGAGGAGATCACACAGACAGCAAAGCTTCACTAGAGATCTGTTAAAATGTGGGTATAATAAAGCACAGGTTTGCAAATGGAACCTTACTTTAATAGTGCACGAGCGTTAAAGGAAGGTGAGGCTGACACTGAGGCCCACCTAAGGTGCTCTCAGCTCAAGCAGAGCTATTTCCAGACCATCAGCCCCTCCCGTCTCCTGTACCTCCACCTCTGCTGGGGAAACCAGACCACTGCACAGACCCAGTCACAGACACGACTCAAGAATGGATCCATTATTCACACAGACACACACACAGACACTCACTCAGGGGGCTGGCACACAAGGGTGGGATGTTGTAGTGGCACACGAATGCTCACTTTTACTTAACTTCACTTAGAACTGTTCAAGCAGGCAAGTCACATAAAGAGATTCAAGTATTCTTCACAAAGCAACTTTCAGCTCTGTGAAAGGTTAAACAATGGCAAATAAATACCCACCGTGATTTGGGCACAAAAAGTAATTCTAACAATTGTCCGTCATGTTGGTTTTCATGCTTTAAGTATACAAAGAAATGCATCAGACTTCAGCACCTTTAGACACATACTTCAGACCAAGTTTGGAGAATGGTTGATAGCACAACACCATGAAACTTGACATGGATGAATGTGTAAGTGGTCTCACACACACAGACACACACATATGCACAAAGAGGCCAGATTGCATTTGAGTTTGCTCACGGACCATGATAAGAAAATGTGGTAAATGCATAATCTGATATGCATGACTTGAGGTTCCTCTCAGCCTTTCTTTTTCTCTTGGAAATCGCAGGTTGCATCCATAATTTACATCAGCCTCCGTCTGTTTCTCCCTCTTCCACTCTGCTCCCTCCCTGTTTTTTTTTCTTCTTCTTTCTCTCCATCTCCCTTTCTCTCTTCTGGCAATCTGGCTTTTGCAGCTTTAGCTCATTAGCATATTGCAAAATGTGCAGATGCCACCAAAAATTATTCACCTTCCAGCGCTTTGATGCCTCTTTGCATGTATACAAACTATGCTGACGACATTTTGCACAGCATCCCAAACTAAAATAAAAAAACAAAAATGGGATAAGATCTTCTTTGACATCCTTTGGTCCGTTGTTTCCTCACATTCTCATTCAATCCAATTACATCATCCATCATGGGGGTCAAAGGTTTTCGACACTACGATGATGACTGCCATGGGTTTAAACAGACAATTAAAATTCATGGAGTCCAAGGGATAGCTGAATGCATAATATTCAAGCTGTTCAAACGCTAATTGAACACAATATCCATGCATGTATTTGCCATGAAATTGAGCCCTGCTCTGCATTTGAGGCAGCAGAAAGCAAATGTAAGAGGCTGGACAAAAGATTACAGTTTGTCCTTCTGTTTGAGAATGAGATTACAGTTGATAAGAGGCAGATCAATGACTATACATTGTAACTTAACATTGGTTCAGCAAGGCTAACAACATTTATTATAGACTAGCGCTAGAGGAAGATTGGGCTTTGGTAAACATACTTTAAACAAACTTTTAAAAATAACCCTTTCAGTGGAAATAACAATAACACAAACTGCCTTTATACATTGACTGACTGAACCCCTCTACCTGACAATTGCATGCTGTCTAAAAAAACGTAAAAAAGAAATGGAATCACTTATAACCATGAAAATAGTCAAGTAAACACCCAGTATGCTTTCGCTGAAAACATTGGTGGCCAACCGTTAATTACAATTAAGTCAGGACGTTCTGCTGAGTTTGTGGTTCAATACATTATGCTGAAAGCAGCAGGACCATTGGCTAAAATGTTGAACAGTGTTGCAGTTTTCTCCAAGTAAAAGTATGTAAGGCTGCTAGCACAAATGGCAATACAAGGCTTTTGATATTGCTTTTAAAACCACACAGATGTGTATCAGTTTCACTGTGAAACCTTATATTGAACTGCTCAGAAAGGAACAAAGGTTTCAGGGTTCTTACCAGTTTGGATCAGGTGGCTCTGGAGTTTGCTATTAAGCAAAATCTGTTTCTTAATCCTCATCAATCACAGAGGGACTCTAAAACGAGACAAAATGCAATGTATCAGGGACTGTGACAATACATTTAGTGATAGGAAGACAAGACGTAGTTTGCATCTTTCAGAGAAATGAAACAAAACCCAATGTTGAGCATCTGACAAATTAGAGGCGTGTAACAAGGACTGGCAGAGCTGCAAAGAATATGCATCTCTAATTCTGCCAAATGTTAAACATGAAATATTTAAATGACAAACGCAAGATGATTTCTTATCTTTCTTGTGAGTGCTTTGTGCCAATCTAGTTGCACAAGCAGCTGTCTTTAAATTCTCCAGGCTCAAATCGTGGAAGAAAATTCTGTTTCTGTTTCTGGCTCTCCTCGAACAGAGATGTGCAAATCCCCTAACGGGACAACCACTTGCTGCGCATTACTGCAGCAGCCTACTTTACAGGACTGCATCTTTAACTTTCTTTGTTTCATTTATTTCACATTTCTGCCTCAATATAATCTGGGTTAGATTTTTTTTAACAGGTAAACTTGTGCATTTTGTAGAATAAGAATCTTCACAAACTACAGAATGTCTCATATTTGACTAAAGTTAACACCAGTTGCTAGCAAGCCAAACGTCTCCATAATTTTTTTTTAAATAGTTGAGTCAAATTAAATTAGTAATGTGTGTTAAAAAAACAACATGATTTGATAATTTCATACAATGATATGTAATACAAGATAGACAAATAAAAAGAAAAGATAATGAACCAGTACTTAGGCTTTACTGTAATTAGGGCTGCACAATATATTAAAAAAATTACCGTCACCACGTCAATCAATGTCACTATCAACATCATTATCACAAGCAAACTGTGTGCCAATAAGTTTAGTAGTCAGGTCTCACACTGCCCTAAATGCCCACAGGTGACAAAGTTGCAGACTGGCCAAAAAGAGTTTTAGTTCTGAACATCTAGTTCTACATGTCTTGTGAAAAAAATTAACATACACAATATATACTGAACATGTACTTCTCAGCCAAATCAAGAATATGTTGCCATTCTGCCATGACTGAGGGTATACGACAACTAAATCTGGAGCCGAGATGGGGTAGGGGTAGAGCAGCCGACCTGGGACCAGAAAGTCGCGGTTCGACTCCCAGCCATTCCCACATGTTGTGGTGTCTCTGAGCAAGGCAACTAAACCCTAACTGGTCCCCAGATGCTTACATAGCTGCCCACTGCTCCACCTGGGTGTACCTCACGTGTGATGGGTTACATCCAGAGAGCTAATTTTGCCATTGTATGGGAACATACAATGATAACAACACATAGCACTTTACTTTACTTTACTTTACTCAAGGCTGATGACAGAAGCTGAAGGAGGAATGAAACAAAGAGATATTGGCTTGGTTCCTATAGGAACACAAATGTCAGAACATATTAGGCTGTATGACCAACTGTCAGGAGTGGCTGTCTCATGCTAACCTCTTATGTTATAAGTCAAGCCTGTACTCCTGGCACACAAGCCTTGCTAATTGTAAGTCGCACTCACTGATCATATGCACCACACGTACATTTTGCACAAATCTAAAGCTGCAATTGTTCCCAGCGTCTCAAGCAAGTCAAGTATGCAACCTGTACTTAACAAGTTTGTCCATACTACTTCTCAAATATTTCGTTAATAACCACCAGGACCCTGAAACCCAGCTGAATTCGATTAATTTCCATGACCCGCGATTGTTCAAATCATACATAGTGGACTGTGAGTGCAGCTTTAGATGATAGTGGCAAAATCCCATGGATTGTGTTGTGACAGTTGTGGTGACAGAAATAAAAAGGAGTGAGAAACGATTGGTTTTACTGCAACTGATATGATTATCAAAGATATTTAACAATAATATTGCTATGACACATTATACTAACATTGTGCAGTCCTTGCTCCAATGTGATATGGTGGTGCTGGCAAGAGCAGCATCAGCTGAACGATTAGCCTAATCAAAGTTAACATGGTTTGTTTTTAAATACACTATTGTTTCTTGTTCTTATTAATCACTGAACCCAAACTCATACAAATAACACATTTCAATATTTCTAGAATCAAGTTCCTGCTGGTTAAAATAACTGACGACTTAAAAGTACAGAAAAATGCATTTCAACAAAAACAAACAGAAAAAGCAACAAAGCAAAAAGCTGTCCATGAATAGATCATTTTCCTGCTTGCTCGCGACAAAGGCGGACACTTTTCCCTCCTGCTTTGCTCTTTGTCTTGTGAACCCTATTAGAGCCTCTCTTTAGATATCTTCCGAATTATAAATTATGGATCTGGTCAGCTGGTCTCTCAATGCAACTGATAAAATTATCTTGACGAGAAAACAGGGCGAAGGAAAGCCCTCTTGCCCTGACGGGACACTTGTAACTGGATACACGATAGATTCCTGGGGGCAGTGGAAAATTGCGTGCCGGTCCATATTGTCTGTTGAGGATGTAGAAGGCGTGTACATAATTGGATTGATGATAACAGGATTTCTGCTTTTTGGAGTTGGCAGTTACCTGACGTATTGACAAATACAGAAAACACTGGCAGCTGTTCTGGCTATTGTAAGGCTGCCCCTTGTGTGAAGGAATGTGCCATGCAGTGAGCACTCAGACTGATGCTGTGTGAGCTGAGCTGTAAGCTGGATGCCATTTCTGAGAATCACAGGCCACTTGTGGCTCCTGAAACTCGCTGGTGGGAAGGAATGAACCTTGGAGAAGCTACAAGCTCGGCCCAGCAGTGCTGACCATAAAATTTGGCTGTCTAAAGTCGCCATTGAGACATACCAGTAAAACTATAAGACAGACAGAAATCAAGCAGAGTCGGCCTGAACCAAAATAAATGTTATCTTAATCTGGCTCCCCCGTGTCGGCCTTGAATTGGCCAACTATCTCAAACTCTCCTGGATGTTATGTTAACAAGAAGCTCTGCTCCCCCCTCCCCTCCCTGCTCCCTTCCCGAGGACATATGTGGACCTGTATCTGAGCTGAGCCGGCTGATGGACACTGCACCATCTCTTATCAGGATTATGGGGACTATCTGGCAGTGTCCACGGACAAACTCACCGCCTTCGTCGGCCTTCCTCATGCATATATGTATCACGATGTCATCAGTATGTTGCTGTTTCTGTGATGAGATTTTTTTTTGCAACTTTCACACTGTGGATACATCCTCTTCCCCCATGTTTTTCTTTTCCTATCTAACAAAAATGGCAGCGCCTCCCATGAGGCCACGGCTTCAGACACTCTGTCTTCCCATGTTTGCTGTTTATGTTTTACTCTGACAGGCTGTACTGAAATGTAATTTTGTTGTGCTTTGGTGCAATGAAAATAAAGCTGATTCTGATTCTGATTGTTATCGAGTGAAAATATATTTTTTATTTTAACATGTTGCTTTTCTCAAATTCTGAGCTAAACAAAAGGGTTCACAATTAAGCTTCTTTTCAGTTTAAATAAAGTGAAAACATGCTTAAGAAAATATACTCCAAACAGTAAAATATTGTAAGCACTTTTCAAAAGGAAGGGGAATCCTTCTGCTGCAAATCAATAACACTCACAAAGACTGAAATGCATTAACCACAGGACCTGCTGTGGGGTTTTGTATTCAACTGTGCCTTGTAATTTCTATGCCCATGTGTCTTTTATTTGACTGAGTAGTTCTAAAGCACAATTCCTACTGCTGGTATTATTTCCTATTCATACAAAGGCTTCATCATGGCACTAAATGAGCTGCAGTGGGTGATATGAAAGGAAACACACACAAACACACAAGGTAATTTACTGATTGTCTGTAATGAAACATGAGGCTGGTAAAGCATGTTTTCTCACTCTCACTATCAGGAAATATGGTTGCTTAGGAATACACCAACTTAAAAAATGCTGTCACACCGCCTAAAGAGAAAGGCAGAATTATCAGAGGAAAAACAAATGGAGGCATTGATTCACTAGTTGTTTATTTACAGGCCTCTCTGGAGAAGAAATAAATTCCCCGGTTGAGGCTTTGTTTCCCTATCACAAGACACGACGGGATGCATGAGAAGAAGGGTGAGCGGGCCACACGTGCACGCAAAACACACACACAAACACACGCACAAACATCTTACATCTGGATTCATCTCCAATGGGCGTCATCACAGATGCCATTAAATGTAGCAGAAGGCGAGAATCGTGCAGGAAAGAGGCTGCCATCTGAATAATTTATTCCGAGGCTCATCTTGTCTCACACCGGGGGGATTTCTGCTTTCAATTTACACTGTTTTCCTCCCCATATTCAAAATCCGGGGGAGCAGATTTGTTGTGATTGGCACACAGAAGGTCAACGTTAGCGAGCTAGCATCAACGCTGTCCTCAGTGGGTTGGTATGCTGGTCTATTAGCACGTTTAAAAAATAAAAAAAAGTGTGTGCGCCTGTGTTTGTGCCAGTTTTTGTTTACATGATCTGTGACGCTGGAGAATACAGCCTGTGGAGCGCAGACACATCAGTGTGTCGGAGCTTATTAGACTGCTTTCCAAGGACACAAGAGGATCTAGACATTACACTGGCTGAGAAAAAAATAATGCTAATCATAGCAAGAGGATGTTAGGAATGCAGACACTAAGTGAGGGGTAGGGGAGGGGGACAAGAAGGACAAGAGAGCTTGGAGGATGGAAAAGACATTCTAAGAGTCTGGGATGAGGGCGCAAAGGAGGAGGTAAAGTGAAAGAGCACAAAAATAAATCGTTTATGTCCTCACCGTGTGTGTCACAATGGGACTGAGAAAAGGACAAAGAACAGTTCACTGAGGCACAGGTCAGCTGTGACAGAACGAGCAGCCATTAGCCAGACAGAGCATCTGACAAACCGGGGGGTGACTCTCTCTCAAAGTGACAAACTGTATTTCCAAGTTGTCTGTTTAAAATCGTTGGAATCTAATGCAGCTTAAGGGACCAGTTTTGTTTTGTGATGTTCTGGTTTGATTTATTTGCAAATGTTTGAAACAACAGAGACACCATGTACATACAACACTCTGTTATAAAGG